TTGGACCCTTTGGAGAGCTATTTGAAGGTTTTAACGGGAAGAATTTTTTTTTTTTTTTTTTTTTTTGTAATGTAGCGGTATTTTGGAGCTGCAAAGGACTAAACACCTAAAGACAGATTAGGACTTGTCTAACAAGTATGTACCCAGGCTAAAACAAAGGCATTAAGAAGAGATGTTAGTGCTATAATCTATTCTTCTGGACACTTAAATGGATTAAAAAGAGGGGAAGAATGACAGATGACCCCAGCCACTCCAGTTTGAGAGAATGATGGGAAACTTTAATTGGTGAAGGAAACTAAAGAGATAGCTTGATTTTTAAATGTTGCATTCATTTGAGCTATCAGTGGATATTCAAGGGGAAATGCTGTGCTTTAGAATTGAACAGACTTTTTTTTTTTTTTTGACAGGCAGTTAGTGCAAGAGAGACAGAGAAAGGTCTTCCTTTTCCGTTGGTTCACCCCCAAAATTGCACTACGGCCAGTGCACTGAGCCGATTCAAAGCCAGGAGCCAGGTGCTTCCTCCAGGTCACCCATGCGGGTGCAGGGCCCAAGGACTTGGGCCATCCTCCACTGCCTTCCTGGGTCACAGCAGAGAGCTGGACTGGAAGAGGAGCAACCGGGACAGAATCCGGCGCCCCAACCGGGACTAGAACCCTGGGTGTTGGCGCCGCAGGTGGAGGATTAGCCCAGTGAGCCACGGTGCTGGCCTAGCCACTGGCAAACAGACTTCAATATAAATTCTGGCTTTGTCACTTACTGTCTCTCTGATCTTGGCCAAGAAAAAATGTCTTCACTCCAATTTCTTCACATGTAAAATGTATTAGTTTATCTCATTGGAATGCTATAATAATGAACATATAAATACAAAGAATATAATTTAGATACAGCCCAGTAAATCATTGGTGCTTGGTTTTTCCCTGGCTCTTTGCAAAGATGAACTGAACAGTTGGAAATAAATGCTTAGAGTTCTTGATCAGAAGCAGGGACAGTTAGAAATATTCGTGTGTTATATGCAGGAAGTTATTAGTGGGCAATTGTCAAAAGAGAATGAATTGTTATAAGAAGACAGCATGCAATATTAGGAAGAGTTTTTTACACTTAGCCTACAAGAAGCACGTACATTTATTGCATGAGGAGGAACAGAAGATGGAGGACAAGTAGGCAGTAGATGGGCCACATCCCTTTACTCAAGCTAATCTGATGCCATCATCTGAATGTTCCTACTCATTTGATATGTTATAGGTGGGATATGTTGTGACTTTGGGAGTTATTTAATCATTGGACCTATGATGCATATTGTAGCATCTCCTTTGATGATGAGCTCACTGTTTCACAAGTCAGACAGTTCCTTTTTTGATGTCTTGATTATTCAAATTTTTCTTCATGTTTGTCCATAACTGATTATCTCTTTAAATTTTTTACCTCAATTAATTCCTTCACATAGTATCAGCTTATGCGCTTTTGTTAGTAGCCACTAGGACCCCTTCTTCCTTCATTTTAAGTTCCCTGTCTTCTAGCATACCCAATTGAAAGAATATAATTAGTTTTGGTATCACTGTTTATCTTTGCATGGTTTCTTATTCAGTTATATTACACTTCATATTTTAAAACTATAGCCAGAAATTTAAATGAGAAAATAGAAAACAAATCGTGAAAAATTAACATTAATTTATGTGTTTATTTTGTCTACTATTTTGTCTACTATGTCTACTATTACATTTATTTCCTACCACAGATGTTTAATACACATATTTACCTCATTTTATCATACCATCTACTCGTGTACCCTTATAATTTCTCAACCATAGGTATTTCAGTAACAGTTGAAGGGAAATGAATTAATTTCAAGAATTCACTATACCTCATTATTTGGCTGAAAGTATGTTAGAATATCATGGAACCTAGTCAGCAATAACATCCTGGAGCTCTAGGACCATATCATATTTTCCCTAGAATAAAACATGTATAACCCAATGAATGGGACCAATTGTTAAGAATTCTATGTAGTGTAAAAATAGAAAGTAATTTTGAAGTTAATCTTTAAGGAATTTTAGGAAGGACCAAGGACGAAAAGACTCTTCAGTTGAGGAAGACAAGAGATCTGGTCACTGTTTATATGTGTAAAAGCACTAGGATGCTAAAATCTGCCTACATTATTAAGAAAAGCATTCCACCTAGGCTGTGAATTACTCAACTGGCTTCATTCCCATTCAATAATTTTTATGTGACACTGACTTAATGCTTAAATAGTATAGCTACTGAAATCATTCATTGAATTAAAAATCAGCAGATAATGTAAATCTTTACTTAACTCAGCATACCTGAGTAATAAATTTGTATTTTTTCTGATCTTCTGAGAATATAATGTACAGAAGAGATTTGATTACCTTATCTTCACCTTTTAACATTTAAAATAGTATTGTCTTTATACTTCTGTACTTTTTTTGTGGAAATTTCCCATCCATAACAATCCTTATTAGGTAATTCATTAAATTCATATTTTCTAATTGGAATATTATTCATGGTCCATTTATTTTGAAGTTTATAAAACTAACCTATGCTTATTGCCAAAAGCTCAAGAAATGAAAGTATAAAGAAAGAAGTATTTATTACAGTCCTTATTATTATTTAATGTAACCACCATGAATGGTGTTTTCTATGTCTATATTCATTTTTAACAGAAGTGGAATTGAATTACATTTGCTATTTTGGAACTTAGTTTTTCCCACAAAATAAGTTTTATATCCCTTAATAATGGACATTTATGTAATGTACAATTTTTATTGTTTTAAACAGTACTGTGACTAACACATTGCAAATTAATATTTTTGCTTTATCCAATCATTTTTGATAGTAGTAGAAATAGAATTGTGAGCCAAAGGTATATAGCAGTAGGGCTCTTGGGATATTTTTGTTTAAAACATTCTTAGGCTATACCAATAATAGTGAAAGGGCTGATTAAAAAGTAGTAAAATTATATACCCCAAATTTTCTGCTATTAACTGACATTCATATCTAAAGTTAATATCCACCTAAATTAATTTTATTATATAAAAACGTTTCCATTTCTTCATGGGGAAAAAATCTGATGTTTGGAATTATTTGTGAAGAAGTATGAAGGAATAGAATGAATCAAATTGTATTGAACATTTCACAGGAGAACATCATGTAGCTTTAAATATCATCAACTAGTCATAATCATCATATCATAAAGAAAAATGGAAAGAAATTGGTGGATGCGAATCAATGTGTAATTCCTTAATGAGAATAAATATGTAGGAGAAAGATAGGGCCTTCACATTGACTGCATTAGTATAGTTGTCAGTTATTTAAATAAATAATAAAATATTATTATCATTATTAAGTTGTTCATAAGCTTTATATTAGCAGTATGTTTTTCTCCTTCCAAACTTACAACTCAAAATCTTCTCATATGTGTTCTTTGGCAAGAAAAATAAATACATGGAATAGAACTCACTTTGCTGTCAATTGTGGCTTTTAGAAATGGATGTAGAGATTACTATTTAGCTGTCAGAGGAATCAGAATCACTTTAGTATATCTTTGGGCACACAGCAATCTCCACTTATGCATACTGGGAGGCATTTGACCAGTTCCATTACTGTAGTTCATGCACATTAATGTGATTTTTTTAAACTGGCAGCCTCTTATGCATATTAACCGTTTATCATCTGTTTGATTCATATCTGAGATCCCTGTAGTTTTAAGCTTTTTTGTCCTAACTCTTTCTCTTCAATGTTACTTAATTCAGCTGTAGTTCATTGAATACACCAAAGTCTCCATTGTGGCTGCATTCCAGATGACTTCTCCTTCATAGTCTCTGGGAGCTGGTGCTTCTTTTAGTGGAAGTTCTCATTTTCTCCAGCTTGAGCAGTATCTCCCAAGAAAAGCATGAATAGTATCAGACAAAAGGCACCCCTTCTCCTTCGCTTGAGTGCCTAGGGAGAAGCTAAATCACTCAGCCTATTAGATAGCTCCTCCTTATGATCCAGGATAAATTTGACCCAGTATATTTATATAACAAATCCTGGGAAAATTTTAATCCTTTAGAATTGGGATGGAATATTCTTTCTCTCTTTTAAGTGTGAAATGTATTTTTTAAACAAACCTTGAAATGATGGGTATTTTAATGTGTTTCTTTAAAGCATAGTTCTAGGATTTCAGTTACGTAAAACTGCATCACTATTCTATGTTAAAAGTAAACAGAGATTGTTCTGTGCTCAGAATTGCGAAAGGATGATGGATGAAGTAATTTAACATGGATGAGAGTTGAGCCAGGTTTAAAGACATTTATGAAGTACTTTTGTTTAATTATACAATATGTTTTGAGGTTATATTCATATAGGATGACTTCATTAGAACACTATATTTTAAGTTTATAGAGTTGTTGGAACACATTTCCGATAGCTACTGCATTGGAGTAGCATTACCTTTTCAGTTTGTATTCTATTTGTATAGTAGGGTAAAAGGTTTATTATATTGACACTATCGTCCATGCATCAGAATATTGCTTTCTTGTGTCAGTACCAGCTATTGGTAGTATAATAGCAGTCCGATTTAGAGACACTCCTAAAAGATGGTGATGAGAAAGCATGTGGTGTAGTTGTAAGCTCAGGACACTGCCAAATCCTTGTTTTCAGGCATGTGGATTTTTAAATTGTACTTGTGAACAGGGCTTGGATCTAGACCTAGCAGCTGACCAACATTACTGATGACATAATTTTCTTGCATTCTAAATTATTCCATTGGTAGGGTGGTAAATGTCCATTATGTTATCTCATAATGATGTAGACTCTAATGCAGTAACATGGTTAATTGATTCAAACAAGGAATTTCTTTCTTGAGTATATATCTCCTGAACATTATTAGGATGGTACACCAATTATGTGATTTTTTTAAACTAGTCTTATTAAAGGGGGAGAACATTAAATCTTTGAATACTGTACCTCAATTTTATTGTAATGATTTTGCTGGTTACCAGGTGGGGTGGCAGTTGAAAAATTTGGTGAATGCACTACGAGAGGACCCGAGTGGTGTTATCTTAACTTTGAAAAAGCGACCTCAGAGCATGCTTACCTCAGCACCAGCTTTACTGAAAAATATGAGATGGAAGCCCCTTGCTCTGCAGGTAATGAAGCTTAATCATAAGTCATACACCATCATTTTAGCCATAGATTATCTCAGTAATGCTTCTTTATTGTGCCTCATCTCAACAGCATATGGATTAATCTTGTATGCTTTTGAAAATTTGTTTGTAAAATGATCTCTTTACAGCTTATCCTAATAGGCTTAATTGTGATGAAATCTTAGTAACTAAAACCCAAATTATAAAGAACTATGCCTTAATTTTTAAACATTTAAAGCATAATTCCAAAAAGCCACAGTTTATTTCATGGCAAAATGTGGGTAAAATTGAAATTAAGAGGTTTCATTTTTGTATTATAATCTTCTGTTTTATAGGTTGTACTCACACTCTGGAAGCTAGAGGTTAATTTATAAAATTCTTCTAAATCAGATCATAAGATACTAATAATACCTCATAAACAGTAGAAAACATGAAATTTTGGATTAATTAGGATGTGCTCAGTACATTTCTCCTAAATGATCATTTTTCTGCTTTCCATCTTATAGAGTGACAAAACAGGGAATTTGTTGTATTAGAATTTTACATTTTTCTTCAGTATGAAACATCACTATAAATTATTACTATGATGTTGATAAATTATATTCATTTAGAATTATCAGAAGTTATAAAAATGTGATTTGGATTGATGAAAAGCATCCATGAAGTAATACATTTTTTTCCATTTTAGCTAGGGTATAATCTTTAAATATATCATAGATATTTTTATCCTTCACAAAATCTGCTTTTCTGATAGGAAACTATTACCTTTTCTTAGGATTCTAATGTTTAAAAAATTTTAATTACCCATTGAACTAGAACATTGCCCATTGTTCATATTAAAAAGAGAAGCTATATATAAAAACACATTGTTGTCACTGATACATAAATTGTTATTACGCTATATGTTAGTACCTTTTAGCATTCATAGAATTTTTTTCATAATAAGTGAATTCTCTGTTACAAATGGATGGCCTTATAGATTATGATGATTTCTCATTGTTTAAAACTTTCCTACTTATTGGCCTCAAAGTTGACATTCCACTTGTCATTCAAAACATAAAATGTTCTGACATTAAAGCCTTTAAATTTTTAATATGAATCTTTGTTTTTCAAGTGAACATATGTAAAACTGTATTAATATGTCCAAATGCTTTTGACTTGCATTATATGTTTATCAAAGATATCTGATGATCCTTAAAGTTCAGAGGCAGTGTTTACCTCATTAACTGAGTCATAGATGAGCAGATAAAACGTTCCCATCACATCATTTTTTTCTCAGTGCATTGTAAGTTGTTTTATTGTTCTATTCTGGAGTTTCCTATTGATGTGTCTTTCCCAAAGATCCTTCTTCAAAGTCTGAGGAGGTGGGAACCCTGAAGAAGAGGCCCACAGTTTCAGCCATTATATTTCCTTCTCAGTATATGCGTAGATAAGTTAATAGCTCCTATCTAATCTCTCATATTTCATATTGAATGCCAAAAGACCCTAGTTTCTTGTGATCTGTGCATTCTGTTGGAGGAAATACCTCTAGTAAATAAATCAATAATTTATTCCACTGTTAGATTCTTTTCCACAAGCACAAACTGAAGTGAAAAGTTAAGATAATGACAGTATCTAATCAAGAATCATTTTTATATAAAATGCTTAAATAATTAAAAGACCAACTTTTTTGTTCCAAATACATTTGGTATATATATTCAAAGCTGGAGGAAAAAAAACTTATTTTAAAAATTTTCCTCACATCATTTCCTACCCTAATTATAATAGATCTTTATGGCACTGTTTTCAGGTCCTTTTCCAAAATACCAAGAAATGTGCCTCATCATATCATTAATTGTATTTATTTTTCATTGCTTATTTGACTATGCTGTATGTACTTGTAAATTTCTTTTTTCAGAATACTGGAATGTGAAAAGAAATCATTTACATATGTATGTGTATATACATTTATATATATAAAATACATATATGTACTTAGGTACATATATAGGTACATATATATATTTATACACACACACCCCAACATTTTTATAATTTCTTAATTCAACTCAATTTGGTTAACCTAAAATATATTGAACAGTGTCAACCATTCAAAAGAAACCATACTGCTCAGGGAGAAAAAAACTGCTTCTAACTTCTTCAAAAACTGCTTTGCAGTTGGCTTTTTACAGAGCAGAGTAAAGATTACTAGTGTTAATTATATACTTCCTAGTAGTGCTAAACAAGGTATTAAGAGGAAGGGCAGTAGATACGTTCTCTAAAATACACCTTTACCACCACCACCAAATCTCCCTGAAACCTATTTTAAAGACCTAAAGTTGTGCCATTACAAGGTTCTTGCTTTTGTTAAATTTTTAATTACTCGAGAAGCAATAGACAGACAGACAGTGAGGGCATGAGTGCATCCATTTACTGGTTCACTCTCCAATGCCTGCAACAGCCAGGACTGGACCAATATAGATTTTGATACAGTCAAAGATGGACAAAATCTGAAGGTACCACGATCTCGAGATTGAAAGTAGATTGCCTCCACAGGGAGAAATGTGAAAAAACAAATGGTGGAATGGCAGGGTCTTGAAGCAGTTCTGGATTTTTCATGACTTTGTATGAGGTCATATTTTTTCCCTAGTGCCTGTGAACCAACCTCAGATGTGAAATGTATGTGCCAAACGTAACATAAATCCTCTGTCTAGACATAAGTGCCATTCTTACTATGTTCTTGCTTCTGGTCTATTTTATGAATGCTTTAGAGTCAAAATGTCCATTAACTCACCTAAATTTTAATCTTCAGCATTCAAACTTGAATCATTGAATATTAGGTTATTTCTTTTCCATAGAAAGTACCAACAGTCTACTAAATATTTAAAATAAAGGATATAAAAAGAATCTGTGGCATTTACTAAATATAATATATCTATTTTATCATTTTCTTATACTATACCAGGTTTAATTAACCTACTAGCATTTTCAGATAAAATATAGCAAAGTTTGTATCGTATGAATGTAGACACTAATACATGCATCTTTTAAAAGAAAAACTTTATCCTAAGTAATAATGATTTTTAAACTAACAAGGGAATAATTTTACCTATATAAATGAAATATAACCTTATCTACCCTAAGGTAGGAGATTGTTTAAAAATACCACATTTTAATTCAAGTGGAAGATTTTTCTAAGAATCTTATGAGAGGGACTTCCAGTATTAATTAACTGCAATGATGAATTTTGATTTGGATTTTCTTTTGAAATTGTAGCCAAGTAAACAAAAGCATACAATTTAACTTCATGCTCACAGAGCAATTTCATTAGTACATTTCATGAAATTTGGCACCTCTTTTGATAAATCCCTGATCTCACAAACATTTTGTGATAGAATTGAAGGACTTAAAGATCTGTAGTCAAATACTACAAGCAGATGTCATTATCTCTGGAAGATTGAATTCTGTTGTTATTTGAACCCATGTGTAAACAGTAGAGCTGTCTTATCTGAGATGAAATCTTTTATTCTAAGAAAGCAAACCAGGGATTCCTCATTTTCTTAGAGCTGTTTTTCAATACATCTCCTCAGTGGCACCCTCTGCTAATTTTCTGGATTGTGTTAAGCATGGTGATTACTTATGGTCAAGTTTCCAATTCAATGAGAAAATCATAGGGAACTGTGAATAAACTTCAAGGTATATTTTTAGATGTTTGTAATTTTAGTATGCATAGGCCTTAAATATGCATGAGTGGTGGCATTTTCTTCCTGTGAAAGATATATGAGAGAATTAGCTGGACATTGCCAGAATGTTCTTTGAAATCATCACTGACAGTCAATGATTTTAAAAACATTTAAGATCCTAGGTGTTTTTTTATGTGAGAATACATCTAAGAAATGATCACTAAAATCAATGCTGTAATTCAACATACTGATTTAGATATGGTACAAGACATTTTATATAAAGTAACATTAAGCTGTATCATTAGACATATACACCTAAACTGTATTCTAATCCATGAATCTCTTTTATAATTACCTGTGTGATTTTGTGACCTTGTGCTTTTCCATTTAAATTTTATTGTGTAGCATTACATTGATGCCATTTTTACAGATTACTAAATGACTTTGAGCAGAAAAAGAAATAGAAAGAAAAGATCATAGCCCACAATTTTGTCTACCAACTATTAGAACAACTGAACAACACTGATTACATTAGATCTCAAATATGTACACATATGACTGGTAAAAGTCATTCTAGAAAAATCAAAACACAGGAGTAACAATATAATTTATTTCCATATTCAAGTTACAGATTGGTGTAACTGAAAAAAATGAGTGACAAAGTTTATATGCTTGAGAGTTTTGATTTAAAAGCATGTTTTGAAAGAGACAAGAACTAATAGTAGATATGACAATAGAAAAGAAAATTTTTTAAAGATTTATTTTATATATTAGAAAGGCAGAGTTAAAGAGAGAGGGACAGAGAGAGACATTGTCCATCTGCTGGTTCACTCCCCCAAAGGGCTGCAACAGCTAGGGCTGGGCCAAGCCCAGGAGTCAGGAGCTTCATCTGGGTCTCCCACATGGGTTCAGGGGCCCAAGGACTAGGGCCTTCTCCTGCTTTCCCAGGCACATTAGCAAGGAGCTAAATCAGAAGTGGAGCAGCTGGGACTCAAACCAGCGCCCATATGGGATGCCAGTATTGCATGTGGTGGCTTAATCTGTTACATCACAATGCCGGCCCTGAAAAATTTTTAACTCAAAGTGTAATTGTGCTGACTTAAGGAGCAATTTTATGTCTTACATGCTCAAATTAGAAAATAGCTGCAAGCAACTGTCAAATCAAATTTTCACTCACTAATATTTAAGCAAATCAATTAAAGTATCTAAATCACATTTATGCTTTTGAGCCAAAAACTTTCAAAATGTTAGCACCACTACGAATTATCACTGCTAATGCAAAATTTACCCATTCTTTATTTACTTAATATACCCCAAATTATGTTTATTGTAGTTTGAAAC